GAACGAATGGGAACAATTGCAAGGTTGGGGACCATATTAGACAAAAATTTTGAACATTAGGGATTATTTATAAATGGATTTTTTATCATATATAGATATATAGGATATATAGGATATGGATACATTTATTACACATTTTTATTATTAATACACATAATAAACCTAAAAGTTAGTATTAATTTTATTAATTATCTAATAAAAAATATCTATATCATAAAAGTTAAAATTACTATTTATTTTTTTTTTATTTTTTTATATAAATTAATATATAAAAAATATGTTTAAAACTCTCTTAACTTATACCTTAAACACAAGTTAAACAAACTCTTTATAAATTTACCATGACAAATTTCGAAGAGCATAAAGTCCGATCATGGGTTTTTATGAAATTTTAGAATCCAAAGGAAATTGAAAATTTTAAGTCGGTTCTGGCGTCTAGGGGTGGCAACAAGACCCTACTAGGTAAAGTTTTCAATTTTCGCAACACGGGCCATCAACTCTAGTACAGTAAAGAACATCAAAATTAGAAATATTTTTCATTTCGTCTTTGATCAAATCCATTTGGTAGACTGCTGAAATCCCAAAATAAAAATTCAATCATTTTATCTTCCATTTAAGTAGTCACTATGAGTCAAAATGGAATTTGAAAAGTGCTAGAAAATAAAATTCTGAAATCAGATAACAATAAATTGAGAACAACTAAACTAAACCACAACAGTGAAATCAAATTTTGTTAGGAGTAATTTGCTTAGTCATCAATTAAACTAAATCACGTTCAGCACTTGATAATCCAATTGATAATCCAATGATTACTCTCTTGCGGAACGTACTTTTAGGGCTAGAGAACTTGATCAAATTCCAATTTCCTTTTCCCCTTTCGCTTTTCTTCCTTCCCCGAAAAAATTACATACTGTTCAAAAAAAATAATAAAATAAAACTAAACCACAACGTTGAAGTCAAATCTTAGTTTACTTAGTCATCAATTACTCTAAGGTGCAAGCCCGGGAATCGGGGGGAAGTTGCATTGCTACTCATGTCTTCTTCATCCTCTCCCAACGGAAAAGAGAAGGAAATTTTCATAATCTTGCCGCTACTTTTCCAGGGAACAACTTTTTCCCGTGGTTCCTCCACTGGACCTACGAAATTAGAAATTTCGATGGAAAAGGAAAAATCTGTCCAGGCCGTAGTAGCTGCCTCTCTGAAGAAGCTCGATTTGAACCCTAATCATCCAACCCCCAAAGCTCCTGCTCTCGTGGGGTCTCTGAATTCCTCCAATAGGTGTCTTTCTCCAAATAGTTTTATCATTTCTATGGTTCTTGATGCAAAATAGTCCATTTATTGTGATTTCATTTTCGCTGATGATGATAGGACTACGCCTCGAGAAGATGAAGTTGAAGCCTCCTAGTTTGGTGTGCTTGTGTGTCGGAGTCGTCGGAAGGGATTTGGAAGATTTTATGGATCAATTAGGCGATATTGCTGACTTCTTTCTGGGGGATATTAAGGTGTGAATATTAGCCTCTAAGTTGCTATAGAACTTTCTTTGTTTACTATAGACGTAGTTTTAGTAGCTTCTTGATCATCTCTTATGTCCTTCTGAAAGAAATTTAGGTGGATGAAGGATCCGATTGTAGGTTTCAGAAATGATTGAGCGTGTGTGCCATTGCCGATTTTGTTAGTAGTAATTTAGCTATCTTTAGCTAATCTCTACCCTAATGGGATCGAAAGAAGAAATGGGGAGAGTAAGTTAACTCAAGCAGAAGGGTTTCAACTTAAATTGTGTGTATCCTCCTGCATTCATAAGGATGTTGGTTATGGAGCTGAAATTTTCTTACTAAGGCTATTTTAAGATTTTATAATGCTAATGATGTAATCAATTGAACAGTAAAGTTAGAATTTTTATTCCTCTTTGGTGTTTGTGTTGAGTTACACATCTAGAATCATTTTCAAGAAATTTGCTATCAGCAATACTGTTCTAACGTTATGTCACTGCATAACAGATGGCGATAGCAGCAATTGCAAGGAGAAGAAAATTACTTAGTGATGATGTTCTCATTTCCTTAGCTGATAGTTCCTGGGGAATTCTTGACCTTTCCGGCTCGGAAGTTTCTGATGCAGGCTTATCAAGAGTGGCTGACGTGTGCAAATTTCTGCGGGCTGTGGATATAAGGTATGGAAGTTTGGAAATTGCCATTTTGGAATAAGCTAATAAATTGGTTTGGAAATGGTCAAATTCATTGAGACTGTGCTTATGCAGCCGATGCAACAAAATTACTAAAACTGGTGTCTCTAAACTTGTACATCACTGCCATTTGTTGGAGACAATTAGATGCGGGTAAAATCTCATTCTTATGACACTATATTTTACATTTCCGTTTTATTTGAATGAAGTCATGTGATATTGCCCCCAACAGAAACTGGTCTCGCTAAGGATATTTTTTAGCACACATCTGCTTTCTTTCGGCTGTGTTGGCATGCACTTTGAATCTTTGTTTTTTTCTGTATGTTTCATTGCATGCAATCAAGTTGGCCTAGGAAATTGTGTTTTGACTAGGGGTACAAACATAACAGGCTATGAACCAAAGTTAATATTGCAGAGGGTGCCCTGCTAGTGAATCCACTGCTCGCAGATGCTTGGGTGTTTTCAAACCAAAGCTGAACTATGCGGAGAGAGATTCATGGGAGGAACTTGATACCATGGAGATTGGTCCAGAGTCATTGCGTTGGCTTGTTTGGGTATGGTTTTACTCTTTCTCATCGATGATTGTTTCTCAGTGTTTCTTTCTCTTTCCTCATGACGGTTGGGAAACTTGCTTTCTACTTGCCTCGGCATGTATGATATAAACCACATCATTCCTTTTCTTTTCCTCAGCCAAATGTTGATAAAAATTCATTGGAGATACTGTCGTCTGAATGTCCCCGTGTTACAGTAAATCCAAAAAGACCAAAACCATCACTCTTTGGTTTTAAGGGGACTGAAGTTCCAAGAGAGGCACTGCCTGATATTGCCTTGGATGATCCCTTGGTCAAGGACATCGATCCAAAAACTTGGATTGATTGTAGGCTTACACCAAGGACCATATCTCCATCTCCTTCAAACAACACTGAGGGAGACAAACGATCAGCACGAAAGTGCGCAAAGAACGCGAGACAACATCAGCGCCGTGCAGAGAGGGAATGGATGATGTCAAGCCCAACAGCCAAGGCATTAGTACTGGCCTCTCAAGCACACAAGTCTCTACGTGGTCGTCGCAAACATTTGAGAAGTCACATACACACATAAAAAACAACCTTTACTTTTTCCTCATTTTCCTTTCTTTTGATATTCTTTATTGTACTAGAGATGATGCCCCCCAATGCAGGGTGTGTTGATTGGTTCATCTTAGGATAGGCCAAAGAAGGCTCTTTAATGGAAATTTTTCTAATTTTGATGTTCTTTATTGAACTAGAGATGACGCCATGCGTTGCAGGGTGTGTTAATTGGTTCATTTTAAGATAGGCGAAAGAAGGTCTTTTTAATGAGAAATATTTCTAATTTTGATGTTCTTTATTGTGTTACAGATGATGGCCCGTGTTGCGGAATGTGTTGATCGGTTCATCTTAGGATAGGCCAAAGAAAGCTCTTTTAATAAAAAATATCTCTACACATAATAACTTATTTTGTTTGAAAATTTTTATAAATTAAAACTGTTACTTTTTAGCATTTCTCACCTGACTTTTCGAGGTATTTGCAATAAATTGAATCTTAAAAGAAGAGTTGCAAAATATATTATATTGTTATATTATAACAACCTATATATGAAATTTTACTCAATCCTATCAAATTCTCATCCCTAACACAAAAATTCAATTATGAGAAATTTGCTTGAATAGGGCTTTAGTGTTTATATTGTTCTTTTTGTAGGTGAGACCATCATCCAAAAAAAGCTTCCAGTCTTCTGCATAAAGATTGACATAACATGGTTATACAAAAGCAACTTAATTAACCAGAATGCTAAATTGGAAAGAATTATATATTCACAACACGCAAAACAACCCTCAAAATTGCAAAAGCATCATGTTGGTATGAGAAGCTTGCTAAGTTTTCATTAAGAAAATTTTAGTTCCTACTTTAATTGAGTATTGACATCAAATAATATGAAACATTCATGATTATTCAAATAATAAAATAAGCAAAATTTAACTGATCCATATTTAACCAATGCATATAGCAAACAAATATGAATACCTAATAGTTAAATTCCATCGAAGCAATACTCGAGTCCAACTAAATTAGAAATTACAAACACAGAAGACACACCCATGTCTAACTACCCTTCTCTTACTTCCTCTCCACTTTGATCAAACCCATTTGGTAGACTGCTGAAATCCCAAAATAAAAATCCAACCATTTTATCTTCCACTTAAGTAACCAATATGAGTCAAAATAGAATTGGGCAAGGGCTAGGAAATAAAATGATGAAATCCGATAACAGCAAATTGAGAACAATTAAACCACAACATTGAACTCAAATCTTAATTTACTTACTCATCAATTACTCTAAGGTGCCAAAAGAATCCCTAATAGTTATCATTGAATACAATCAAAAAGGAGAAATCCACAACAATCACAGAAGTTTCCACAAACCAAATTGAAAGACATGGATATTGCTGAAAAGGGAAAAAAGCAATCCAAAGTACTTAAAACTATAGATAGTAGCTACATCGATTTGCTATGGAAATTCACATTCCACCATAAATACCTAACAAAATCAACTCCATTCTAGATCCATTAATTGGAAATGTTTAGTTATACAACTTTGCTGTAGATCTTCAACATGCCAAGTAATGAATGAATGAAAACATAAGGGGGAAGGAGTATAAAATAAAATATAATTTTAATTACTTCTGAACTAGAAAGGATATCATATTTAAAGTCAGAAGATAGAGAAACAGAATATTACTTGTGAAAGGGATAAATCTTTGGCATGTCTTTGTCTTGTGAGTAGTATTAAGAGACTCAAAGCAGATGATCCCTATTTAACAGTCCCCTAAACCCAATTTGTTAAGAACTTTAGCTACATGAACCCAAAGCAGATGATCTTAAAGTAGTCCTTTAACCCAATTTGCTAAGTACTTTAGTTGCATGGATCCCATCCACAATTGTGACAATCTATTTAACATGAGAGATTAGGTCTTGTTAGAAGCCATTCCAACACTCAATGTACATCAGAATTTTCTAAAGCACTAATCTCACAACATATTTAAACCATTAAGCAATATCAAAACATCTCAAAATCAACATTGACCAATGATAACAAAACCAAGCAAAACTCACAAAATTGCCAAATAAAAAAGAAAACTGAAAATGAGAAGTCAAATTCTAAAATTGGATTGCCCAGCTACAACAAAGAAGCATACTTCAAATCTTTCTATAGCTATGAATTCAAAGACTTAAAAGTTGTTATGTCAATATGGCAATTCCTTTCAAATTAAACAACTTCTCCTCCTTGTTAAACTCAAGCACAAGTTTAGCTAGATGGGGTACATAATTTGACATGGTTTTACACCCAAAATAACTATTGATATTGGTCTATATCAAACATGGCTAATTAAATGAAAAAGGTGAAGTAATAATCACATGAATTAAATCACCAACCAAAATTTCCATCAAGAACCATTCCCACTGCAGAATGCAGATAAAAAAGGAGCAAATCATAATCAGATGAATTTCATAAACTGTTCTTGCTAGCACTATCAAATCCACAACAAAACACTATGGTAGCAGAACAAAAAAAAAGTAAGAAGGCATGTATATGATCTGAAAGAAAACACAACCGGAGTGGAACAATGCCAACCCAGCACCAACAACAATTAGAAACACTTGCAATTGGCAAAGCTAACATCATCTCTCAAATAGATAAAAACCTGGCAAATATTTTTTGGAAATGCTTAAAGCTTCATGCTTAATTTATATATGGAAATGACCAAAAATGCCATAAATCTCCTGTCTCTTGATTTTGTAATTCATTATATGTAGAAATGCTTAAAGCTTCATGCTTAATTTAAATCTTGTGCTTGGGATTCAGGATCTTAGCTGCCTCGAAATGTATTTTTCATGTAGCAAAATGTCTCATGCTCATAATATTCAAATTGTTCAAATGAATATAGCTAGGTGAGCTGAACCTCATGAGTTTGAGAACAATCCCAAGCAGTAAAATGGAATTGTTCAACAATCTCAGTGTATTTTCATGTAGTAAAATGTCATGAGAGTTAAAAAAGGACAGCCAACTACCTTTAAATTAAAGAAGATAGTCTACTAACTTTAAATTTAAAAAACTGACAAATGAAAATCACCTAGTCAACATATAACACATCACCCAAAAAAAAAAAAA